GTTTAGTTCAATTTGATGATAAGAATTAAAATATGACTTATAAGACAACTGTATTTGCATACCTTAAGAAATTAAACTAGACTCAAATGAGTGTATATCAACATTTTATTAATAGTGTCAACGTAAATAGAGAAATACAAATTATCAAATATATTTATATATATCAGTCCATTTTCATAAAAATGGTATCCATTTTTATAACAGTTTTTTAAAAAATATAGGATTATCAAACTGGTGAACATCAAGTCCATTTTTATATCTATATCGTAGTCAAAGCAATCTATGATTTTATCTTTATATATCTTATTACATAAATTCATCATCATTAACAAAAACATATTATGTCAATCCGAACATATCTCAAATAGATAAAGTATCTATTACCATCACAATCAATGGTTCAATCTCCACCCTAAAATTGTTAAACCCAAAAATATATATATAATTACGTACACATGCAACATCAAGTCTAGTTTACCATAGAGGCATATACTGTACGAGGATGGCAACCGAGCAAACCTTAGAGATAACATCATGTCATGCTACATCTATCTACCCTGTGAAATTGTGTTTGAAGGATAAGAACAAAAAAAAAAAGAAAAAAAAAGGAACATTTTGCAAAATATGTTAAAAATTATTATCCCCAACATATTAAATCACATAAACAATACATTCCCCTTCAGAAACAAAAGCGACTTGCAAGTACATATTTCTGAACAATCATTGAGAATAATGATTAAAATCACAAGGCTGGTGTGAAAACCTACTTTGATAGCAGCCATGTGTTGAGCTCTGTATTTCCATTAGTGGGTCTTCCTCTCCAAATGGGGCTGGTTTTCTCAGCAATCTCTTGCAACAGACCACAATAAGCTCTATCCAATAAGTATTTCTCATCTTAAAGAATGAAAAAGAGAACAGATTCTTTTTATTATTTAGATATTGATGACTGACAACATTTCTTATGGTATCAATGATAGGTTCCCAAAAAATCAATTGGAATATCAAAATTTGCACATATTAGATTTTGTGTACCCACAGAGAAAATCATCTAGTGAACAAAAAGTGATCTTTCCAGGGTAACCAACGCCCAGAAAATTAGATTTGACGGCAGAGAGGGATTAGGCTTTGATCCTGGAGGAGCCTCCCACAATGCTCTCCATTTTGGCGTACCATTCACCAATACGTGTGTGCTCCACCATGTCTTTACCAGATCTCAGGTAACGGATGGGTCTTAACACCCCGAACACCGCAAGATCAGCTAGATTAGGTTTTGAGCCTCCTAAACAACGCAAAACAAGAACCATTGAATTTCATGTCACTAGAGAACAATATTGACTGAACTTTGGCATACAGAAGGATGTGAATTTGGCATATCTTTAAGTGTCGTTGTGAAGGAAAATTGATTCTAAAAGATCAACTATATATTCAATCCTTGAATCTCATTCCTAACTTCGTTTTCCCTGTCTTCTTTTTTTATGAAACAAGTTCCATAACAACTCAGTTTGCAATTTTCGGTGGGAAATTTGCCAGGGGCAAACAAGGGATGGTACTTCCTTTTAATTTCTTTGTTATAATTTCATATCATCGATGAAATTGTTTCTTTAACCAATTAAAATTTCTCCAGCCTTTTGTTTTTACACTTGATTAGTGCAACACTACCTTGTTGCTTATATATTATATATAGATATACATATATAGCATGTTGAAGGCAGAGTTTTAGGACTGCATTAACACCAATATTAAAAGCTCTTTTTTTTTTAAGTCGGTGTTACAATTCATATCATGTACAGACGCATCATCTAAAAAACAAGAGATCGTGTTTATGCTGCTCATGTTATATTGTATGTGCATATAAAAGACACTTCAAAGAACATACCTAGGAAGTCCCGTCCATTCAAAGCATCTACCCACGTTTCTGCTGCTTCATATAAGGCTGCACGCTCATCAGTAATATTATATTTCTTCTTCAGTTTCTTTGACACGAAATACATAGCAGCTGCCCCAGCATACTTTACAGTAATCTTTTCAGCAGCACCAAAGTTACCTAAAAAATAGGATTGGCAAGAGAAGCGGACAAATGAAATACATTATAAATAACAAATCCAGCAATCACCCCTCGGTTAATACAGGAGTAATGGTAAAATTAGAGATTTAACTATAATTTATTTTCTAAAATCACCATCCAAGTGATACCTTCAAAATCAATTCAAAGTGAATTTAAGCTTCTTAAAATCAATTTTTAATTTGCCAAAAACATGATCAATGGAAAAAAAAATTGATTTGGACAATGTCAAAGACAAAAGTGAATCACTCCCAAACACACCCACAATCTCAATCCAAAACCGAATATATACACTAGGTGATATTAACGAGAGTCTCAATCAAAATAAAGTTATAATAAGAATGAGAATCCAAATCCTAACTGAATCCTCAAACCATTTATCACCCAACATATTAGAAACTAGCTACAATATAAATAGCAATCCAAATAAACGAAAATTCCAAAATTTATCTATGAAGTTTGACTTTCTAAATTTCCCTTGCATCACATGGAAAAACTTAAGGTGTAAAGTAACAATTAACTGAAATAGACTTTAACAGGAAAGAATGCCAATGAAAAATCCTTAATCCACGTTAAGATACGTTTGTTAAGTGGAACGTTTCAGTAAATATATCCATGATTCGGTCATACCATTACTAGCAATGTAGTCAAATGATTCAAGGGCCTCGGAAGTATTTCGATATATGTTTGGTGATAAGACATGTACCAAGTGATTATCTACCCATCTGCATCAAGAACCATGAAGTATAAAAGGTTAAGCAAATGAAAAGCATCACAAGCAAGAAGTTTCATACTTTAATGACTGGAAATTCAATTATCAACAAAAAGAATAAGAAGAAGACAAAATAACTATGCTACAATAAAGGAACTATTATCAAAAATGGACTTGCATAGTACAAGGAAAGAATGCAACGTCGACTCATAAAAAGTCAACATGCATCTGGTTTAAGCTTAAGCTTCCAGACGAAACTGTGCCTAATAGCACGAGAAGACCCATAATATACGTAGCCTTTACTCTGTTATCATAATTTTTCAGAATCTTAACACTTTAAATAACATAAAACTTTTTCACTTGGTGTATCTATAATCAAGTATATGATCATTGAGACATAAGTGGTTGGACCCGATAAACGATCATTAATCTCCCTTTCCCCTCCCCTGCCACTAAATTTACATGTGATTCAGTTGTATGGAAAAGGGAGAGTATTCTTTATTCAAATAATTTAAGAAACCTAAACTTGGAAAAAGATAACCTCTAAATAGAAACCTACCGACGCCATTTTGTCTCTTCATCATCTTCGGAGACCGAATCAGTATTTCTGTCCAACAGAACCTTGTGGCTCAACTGGTCAATAATGGCTGCGTAATGCCATTGCCAGAAGTTAGTCTAAACATAAAATGAAAATTGAATGTGGTAGTAAAATAATTCGCTTGAATAAACTGAGATGTGCTATTTCATATATACAAAAGAACATTCAGAATAATGAATAATGAAATGATACCTGACGAGTCAACCAGCTGTTCACCATCAACCACCAATATTGGCACCTTCTTATAATCTGACCATTTAATCTCTTTCTTGCTAAATGGATTGACCTCAACAACTTTATAAGGTATATCGTAGTAGTCGAGAAAAGCTGAGATTGAAAGTAAGACACCGTCCTCATTAAGTGCACAAGAGCATGTAACCGCATGGAGAGATTTGAAAAGCACAATTATGGCCATAGTGAATTTGCAATTTTTGGTAAAATGACTAAACCAAAATATAGTGGAAAGCACATACAATTCGCTTGACTTTTAACAGTCTTATCATGTTTATGAAAATAAGTGGATTTAAAAAGTCCGAGACTTCACTGTATTTCAGCAGCAGATACAAACACTAGCCATAGTCTTCATGGATAATTCAGCTCTCCTTACCCAAAGTAATCCTAAAATCTATTCATATAGTAGCCAAAAGAAGAAGGCAATCCGGCAGCAGGAATGGCTCCATATTCTATTCCGCGTGCATGAAAGCTTATGAAAGCGATAACACAGCAACTTAATATAGTTCCATAAGCTCACCCTCGTAAGGTGGGAACAGAAAGAGTATCAAAATTGGTTATCCTGAAAACGGTAAAATCTGTTGCCTTGATGCCACTATACATTTCCGCTCTCCCAAA